ACCTTCCAGGATCTCTAGTCTAAATACGGTTTTCCCCCGGTCGATGTATTTCTACTATCTTCAATTTCTCTATTCCCACACCTTCCTAGGCTTTCAGCAGACCTGACTGAGAGATTCCTCTCCCAGAACTCCCTATTGAAATCTTTCTCCTCCTTATATCTAGCTCTCCTTTGTGTGGATTCCTGAAGACTGATAGATTGTGGGAGCAGCGGAGAGTAGATATTCCAACATTATAACTGAAGAATTGGGTGGACTGCCTTGAGGGTTGCTCTAAACTTGCTATCTCATCTAGGAACAAACTGATTTAAACTAAGTTTCTGCACAGAGTCTATTACACCACACAGCAAATGCATAGAATCTATTGACAGCAGTTCTCGAATTGCCTATGTTGTCAGCTAAATCTTGGTATTTTCATACGTTTTGGGATTGTCCTAAGGTGTTACAATTTTGGATGGATGGAGCTAGCATTACTTATTCATGATGATGCACTAAGACCTCACCATACTAAGTTATTGATCTTGTACCTGTTGTACTATGCAAAAAAAGGAAATATGATGTAGCACCCACCTAGACAGGTTGCTAGTTAGGCTAGGTAAATTAATTCTTGTAGCTCTAATGTAATCAGTTGAGCAGCTTGTGACTATTTTCTGTTCTGTGTTTCATTGGTTGAAGATTTGACTGCTTCCCCCTGCCTTGTGAATGATTCTGGAATGTACTGGGCTGGAGAGTCACATAGGTAGCTTGAATATTTGTGGTGTCAGCCAATCCCTGGGGGAAGGTGCCCAGTAGGAGGCTGAAGAGTGCATAAATAGTCTGAGGCTTGGAACAGCAGGGTTCTGGTCCAGGAGGAAATGTTCCCGGATGGTCCAACTTGTTTATTGAGGTCCCAGCTAGGCTAAGGGTTGGGTGTTTTCTCTAGTGCTCATCAAGGTCTCAGCTGTGTTAGATCTGGGGGACCTATTCTGCTGAACTCTGATGGCACTGATTAAGGGATTCCAATAAAAAACTGGTCTGGAGAGGCCACAGGAGAAATGTCTGGCTGAAATTGGAAGGAGGTATCCAAGTATCCAGGGACTATCCCTTGTGCATCAGTGCCAGCTCTTGCTCAAAAGCTGGACACCTTAGCTACCATTGTGCTACATGCTGGGTGTCCAGTGCACTCCTGTACCTTTAGGGAGGGGTGGGCTCCCTCTGGTCCACTTACCCTTGGTCTATCTATTAAATACATGTGCCTCTACTATGGGGGCTCTTAAAATTGGAGAGTTAGGAACTACAGAATACTGGGGTACCATGATGAGGCTCTGTAGCTTACACATGTATTTGCAAATGTGTTCTAATTAAACCCCTGTTTTTAATGCATACTGTTAGACAGGTTAATTCAGTTTGTTTGCAGGCTGGCTGGCAAGTTAGAGCTGGGAATTTTTGTTTGACATGCGTCGCCCTTCCATGTTCTCCTTGCTGTGAAGGCCAGTTATAGACTGGGGCAGTGGCCATTTTTTGTACATTTCTTATGGTGTCCCATTGTAGCTCAGTCCACTAGTTGCTGCTGCAAACACTGTGCTAAGAAGCTTGAGAAGTATCCTCATGTTACAAAAAGAAATCGGATAGCTGGGGCTATAAGGGTGCATATACACTATATTGCCAAAAGTATTGGGACGCCTGCCTTTACACGCACATGAACTTTAATGGCATCCCAGTCTTAGTCCGTAGGGTTCAATATTGAGTTTGCCCACCCTTTGCTGCTACAACAGCTTCAACTCTCCTGGGAAGGCTGTCCACAAGGTTTAGGAGTTTGTCTATGGGAATGGTTGACCATTCTTCAAGAAGCATATTTGTGAGGTCAGGCACAGCTGTCAGAGAAGGCCTGGCTCACAGTCTCCACACTAAATCATCCTAAAGGTGTTCTATCGGGTTGAGGTCAGGATTCTGTGCAGGCCAATAAAGTTCCTTCACCACAAACCCGCTCATCCATGTCTTTATGGACCTTGCTTTGTGCACTGGTGCGCAGTCATGTTGGAAAAGGATGGGGCCATCCCCAAACACTTCCCACAAAGTTGGGAGCATGAAATTGTCCAAAATGTCTTGGTATGCTGACGCCTTAAGTGTTCCCCTCACTGGAACTAAGGGGCCAAGTCCAACCCCTGAAAAACAATTCCACACCATAATCCCCCTCCACCAAACTTTACACTTGGCACAATCCAGTCAGGCAAGTACCGTTCTCCTGGCAACCGCCAAACCCAGACACGTTCATTGGATTGCCAGACAGATAAGCGTGATTCTTCACTCCAGAGAACATGTCTCCACTGCTCTAGAGTCCAGTGGTGGCGTGCTTTATTCAACTGCATCTGATGCTTTGCATTGCACTTGGTGTTGTAAGGCTTGGATGCAGCTGCTCGGCCATGGAAACCCATTGCATAAAGCTCTCTATGTACTGTTGTGCTAATTTGAAGGCCGTGCGAAGTTTTCTTTAGCTATTGACTCTGCAGACAGTTGGTGACTTCTGCGCACTGTGCCCTTCAGCATGCGCTGACCACGTTCTGTCATTTTACGTGGCCTATCACTTGGTGGCTGAGTTGCTGTTGTTCCCAGTTGCTTCCACTTTGTTATAATACCACTAACACTTGACCATGGAATATTTAGTAGCAAGGAAATTTCATGGACTTATTGCACAGGTGACAACCTATCATGGGACCACGCTTGAATCCACTGAGCTCCTGAGAGCGACCCATTCTTTCACAAATGTTTGTAGAAGCAGTCTGCATGCCTAGGTGCTTGAGTTCATACACCTGTGGCCATGGAGGTGATTGGAACACCTGAATCCAATTATATAAAACCACAGATTTTTTATTGCAGCATATATCATAGGTTAAAAGTGGGTTAAATAACCTTCACAACAGTAAAAAACAGATCTGGATGAATCTTACAACACGTATAATTCAGCAAAACCCCATACACCTTCCTCTAATGTTCATACAGAAGGTACAATTTAACCACATAGAAGTGCAACATATTAAGAGAATTGTGGGGAGATGTAAGTGTCCTTGTGTTACTGTTTTGTGCTACTAGAGTATTCCACTATTTCTCTATACCCTGTCCAAGTTCAACTTATAATGAAGCATCAGAAAAAGATATTCCTAGACCAGTGGCGTATCATCCATGGGTGTAAAGTGTGCCTGTGAGCACTGAAAATAGTGAGGACTGTGAAGTCATGAGGATGAGGTGGACTGTGAAGCCTGAGGATGGGAGGACTGAGAAGACTGAGGATGGGGGGGCTGGGAAGCCTGAGGATGGAGGACTGTGAAGCCTGAGGATGGAGAGGCTGTGAAACCTGAAGACAGGGGGACTGTGAGGACTGAGGACGGGGGGCTGTGAAGACTGAGGTTGGGGGGGCTATGAGGACTGAGGATGGAGGGGGCTGCAAGGACTGAGGATGGGGGGCTGTGAGGACTGAGGATGGGGGGGGGCTGTGAGGGCTGAGAATGGAAGGAGACTGTAAAGCCTGAGGATGAGGTGGACTGTGAAGCCTGAGGATGGGGGGCTGAGAAGACTGAGGATGGGGGGACTGGGAAGCCTGAGGATGGGAGACTTTGAAACCTGAGGATGGGGGGCTGTGAAACTTGAGGATGGGGAGACTGTGAGGACTGAAGATGGGGGGGGGGTCTATGAGGACTGAGGATGGGGGGGAGCTGTGGGCACTGAGGATGGAGGGAGACTGTAAAGTCTGAGGATGGGGAGACTGTGAGGACTGAGAATGGAGGGGGTGGTGAAGCCTGAGGATGGGAGGGGGCTGTGAAGACTGAGGATGTAGGGGAACTGTGAAGCCTGAGGATGGGGGGGACTGTATAGACATTCTCACTTCTGCACTATATACACTATATTGTACATTAGATGCTTCAAGTGTTCATTGCCTCAACAGTTGCTGGTAGTTGAGCCAGAGGCATCCCAAGGGTTGGTGTCACCCGGTGCGGTAACACTTGGTGACACCCCATCCGACGGTCCCCGCAGAATGGATCGGATCTACGGATTGAGCATAATGGATCGGACTTCGATCCATTATGTTCAATTCGCAGATCCGATCCATCCAGGATGCGGGGATCGCCGGCATGCAACCTATACAGGGTGACACCGGACCCGCTCCAAGAAAAGGTAAGTTGTAAAGAATGCCAACGTTCCCCGCAGGATGGATGGTCGGCTTGCTTCACAACTTACCTTTTCCTGGAGCGGGCCGCACTCCCCGCACCTGCCTTGGGACACCACTGAGTTGAGCAGTCCCTCACTAGTTTATTGAAGTTCTTCTTCAAGGTCAGCTCAGCGTTAGCTCTCTGTCTATATTCAGTGTACATACAATCAGATGTAATGGAAAAGTTTTATTTTTTTAAAATGATTGTGCTGAGATTAATACATGTCTCTGCTTGTGGCACAGCAATGTAAGCATAATTTATGGGTACAAGAAGGCTTTTGTTTTAGTTGCCCATGCCCCTTTAAGTCTTTTCTACTCATGGGGTAGGTTGTGCTCCCTGTAAGTACCACATGGAGGATTTTTTTAAAATGTTGACCATAGCGTGCCTTTAAGTGTTAGGAAGTGTGACGGACCGCCTGGCACCCCGCCTGGGTGCATCCGCTGAACAGTGCTTCCTGCCCTTCAAACCGTTCCAGCAGACTGAGAGATAATACCAGCCCTTTACTCCAAGCATTGTACGCAGAGAAGATGTTGGTTAAAAAACAAAGGAATCACTTTATTGAACAGACTGAACAGGTTTTATACACTTCAGAAATAGGGGCAGCCCCCACATGAACAATAAAAACAAATATTAAACATTGGGATAAACATCCCAAAATGATTAGGTAACGAGGTAAAGTTGACACAAGACTAATCCCATCATGTAGGAACCTCCAGGAGGACTTGCCAACAGACAGAAACAATAGGTGACTCAATTAACAATGTGAGAAAGACACAGGGGTAAACACATAACACCTTAATAAACAAATTACAGCAGGAGCAGGGGCGGACTGACCATTTGGAAACTTGGCATTGCCCGAGGGCCCGGGGTCAGTATGGGGCCCCATGAGATGCCCCTGGTACCTTTTTCATAGGGTTTTTTGAGTTTGGGCAAGGACACAGGGGTCCCATGATCCCCTATTGCCCGGGGGCCCCATGAGTTGTCAGTCCGCCCCTGAGCAGGAGACCCCATCATCAGGTTTTTTTGAGCTGATTATAATAACATATCACTGAGTCCAGGAAGGGGTTGAATCAGTCAATGCTGATTTGAGCTGTCTATACCCCACCAAAACACAGAGGCCCCAAATCTGTATCCAGGTCCTCCAGCTTTCAGAGTCTGTGTGTTTCAGGGAGACATGGACTTGCATCCAAAGATCCCACAGGCACACACCTCCCAAAAAATAGAGCCCCCTCAAATGCCAGGGCCCATAGTCAGTAGGCAAGAGGCTAGCCTGCAGTCCCCTCTAAAAGCCCCTGTGCCGGTTGGGTCTGCCACAGGAAGTTCAAGGGAAAACTATATAAAACTACAGGTATAACCCCCTTTAAACTGCTCTGCCCTATGCAGGCACATTGCAGGTCATTGTGGTTAGTGAGAGACATAAATCCTTCTACTTGAGCTTCCCATGAGGTCAACATTAGGAGGTGCTAAAACCAAGCAAAGGGAGAATTTATAGCAGCAGCCATAAAAGGAGGATCAGAATGCAATGTTAATGAGTTTGAATGATTGACCCTGCCAGAGCTATCACCAAGGTGTGATACAATCTAATTCACCACTGGTCACATCTATGTTGTAAGGATAGAAAAAAAGATAATTAGTAAAAGCACAAGTACAATTGTAAAAAGACTTTCTAGTATTATGCATTTATTTAAGAAGGTAATCAATTTAGTTGGCAAAATCACTTAGAACTGAATTCCAGGGACTGGTATTTTTGCATGGTTACATTGATTCAGCTTCGACCAGCGTAAGAGTGCATATACCAGTATGCCTACACCCAGGGGTGGACTGACCATTTGGAAACTTGGGCACTGCCTGAGGGCCCGGGGTCAGTAGGGGGCCCCATGAGATGCCCCTGGTACCTTTATTATAGGCTTTTTTGAGTTTGGGCAAGGACACAGGGGCCCCATGATCCCTTATTGCCCGGGGGCCCCATGAGTTGTCAGTCCGCCCCTGCCTACACCATACCTGATAGACCACTATGGACGTGTAGAATCACTATAGCTCACCTGCTTTCTCAACATGGGTGCCATTCACTGAGCCCCTTGCATTTTTCTGAATTAATGCAAGGTTTTCTCTGATTGGATGGGTTGGATGGTGACATCACGATCTTCACAATCCTCACCTCCAATTGGAGAATGCTTTGCATCCATTGGGAAAAAAGAAAGGCATTGTGTAAATGGTGTCCCTGCTGAGCAGGGCAGAACAGCTGCTCATTGTGGGACCCGGAAGACAACGAATATCACTGTAGTAGCAGCAACTACTGCAGTGATTCTCCACTTCTACATTGGTCCCACATGTATGGCACATAGTTACATAGTCTGCTGAAAAAAAGACAAAAGTCCATCCAGTTCAACTAAAAAAAAAGAAAAAAAGTAATAATCCTATACCCACAGTTGATCCAGAGGAACGCAAAAAAAACCCAGCAAAGCATGATCCACTTTGCTCCTGCTGGGAAAAAATTCCTTCCTGATCCCCCGAGAGGCAATCGGATATTCCTTGGTTCAACTTTACCTATAAATCAGGGGCGGACTGACTATTTGGAAATTCAGGCACTGCCCGAGGGCCCGGGGTCAGTAAGGGGCCCCTTGAGATGCCCCTGGTACCTTTTTCATAGGCTTTGTTGAGTTTGGGCAAGGACACAGGGGCCCCATGATCCCCTATTGCCCGGGGGCCCCATGAGTTGTCAGTCCACCCCTGCTATAAATGTTAGTAACCAGTTATATTCTTGCATACATGCATACTTACATTTGTCCAAGCTGGACCTGTGTAACTATGCAAGGAAATTCATACCTGGAATTCAGCTTTACACTTAGCAGCCACATACAAACTAAAAGTAGAAATCAGGCTTGCGATGTATGTGCTTCCACTGTAAGCCAATGTGTGGCAAGTAAAGGTCCATGAGTATTACTACAGGAATGAGAGAGAGAATGTGCTGTCACCTTCATGAGTTTACAGGATCATGTGCATTATATAAATATTGAAGCACGTCAATGAGCTCCTAATTATTGGTTGCAGCGCTTTGGTTGGAACAAGTATATTTAAAAAAATTAAGAATATTACATCTAGAAAAGTGAGTACCATTTTTTCATGGGATGTTTGTAAATCCTTTAAATTTCAATGCGGTCAAAAGAAAATTCCTTGTGGTAAGTATTGCAAACAAAATGTATTTCACATTTTCTTAGTATTTCTTTCTTTAACCTAGAACCATTACAAAAGACTTTAAAAACCTACCTAGAGGAATGTGACTGACTTGATTGCCTGCGCACACAATTAATAACTGAAGTCCTGATCTTCATTGGGGTTTGCTAATTATCTGACTCCAAAAACGTTCTCTTATTGCAGGAAGTTTTGAGAACTCTCTGCCGCAATTAGAGAAGATGAATACAATAAACTGAGCTATACCGATTGTCCCCTGACCTGCGCAGGAGCTGCATGGAGAGTCCTCCTGAACATCTGAAGAACATTAGGGGCTCTGTAAACAGTGAGAGAAGCTAGTCCGGATGTCTTCATTTTGCTTTAATTGTCTGTAGATGAGGCCCAAAATTTTTAGCGGTATCTTTGTTTATTTGCCTTTTTCATCAAAATGACACTTGTATCATTTTCCAGTGTGAACTGTCACTCAAATGTGATTGGATTGCCCTCATCTGTTGCTTTGTAGTTTCTTGTTTAGCCACTGAAGTTCTTAAAGAGATTCTGCTGCTTTGCCCATTTAGGAAAGAGTGAAAAGTTCTCTTGATTAAATGATTCACTTCCTCACCCAGCCACCCTAAGCACACACTGATATTTACCTTCTCTGCTCCCTGTCCTGTTGGACTGCAGGAGTGCCAGGAGAAGGGGCCAAGACAACCCTTAAGAGGGTCTGAGCCTGCTCAGTAGCAGGAGAGTTCGGGTGGAAGATGGAGTGAATAGGATGGGCAGTGTAGCCTGGGAGGGGGTCCAGGAGAGGAGACTACCTACAGGCAGAGGAGCTGGATGGGAGGATCTCTCAGCCTCATCGTCCCCTGAGAGAGGACAGCTTGGGAAGCAGGAAAGGAGCCAACCCAGTGTAAGGCCTGAAGGCAGCCATCAACCCACAAGCTTGCAGGAGTGAGTAACCCCACACCCCCTGGGACAGATAAGGGGAAAAGGCATTTGGGTAGAAAACCTGACTAGCCCCCATCTGGGACTACTGATCTTAAGAGGCAGATTCTGGGACCTCTTGACCAGAGATTCCCTCAGGCAGTTTGGTGAAGAGAAGATTTCATCTGGGGTCTGAGGTGGTACACCAGGAGAGGCTGGATAGCTCTAAAAGAATAGAAAACCCTTCTGAGCACTTATACATAGTTCCAGGAAGTTGTCCTCTGTTAAACAGCTCTTTGGGCATCCTATGTATCTCTCATCCCCATCCAAGTTTTCAATCCCTTCATAAAATAAAAAAAAAAACAAGTTCAAGGACTTTTTACTTTCTCTGGAGTGCAGAGACCGTAAGGAAATGTGTGTTGCCCGGCTGTGCAGGACTATAAGAGCACCCAAATCTTTAGTGACTCCTAAGGAGATAGTGCTACACTCTCGTGACATTTAGTGGCCAATTTGAGGAACTACACTGGACAACCATGTACATTTACCCTACACTATCGTGACATTTAGTGGCCAATTTGAGGAACTACACTGGACAACTATGTACATCTACCCTACACTAGAGTGACTGGATCTGCTAAAGTCAGTCATGTTAAAGAAGCAGGCTATGTAATGTCGAGGGAGCTTCTATAAAGAAGGAAAATATGCTGTTACATGTCCATTCCCGTAACAGGCTGCGGTGGATGCTAGACCAGTCTAATTGATAAGCTCCACAGTTATCTGCATAGAGGTCCACAGATTTGTCTATGCTGACTGGCAAAGGTTTTTGAATTACAAGACTTATTGAAAGTTTCAGTATCTATACCTTTCAACCATGTATTTATATTTACTTTTGCCTCAAGCTCAACTTTTAGGCGCCATGCACAGGGGACGTTTTAATAACACTGGTAACCTTAGCTGTGGAAAGTCACGTTAAAAACGTGCAGTTTTTTGGCATTTTTCCATTAGCGTTTAGCGATAAAATATTTTGTTTGCTCAAAAAAAGTCCAAAAACACCGGTTTGCCATGTTTTTCAGCATTACAGCTAAAAAACTCCTCTAGAAACCCACTAGTTCTGCGTTTTTTGCCAGCCAAAAAAACGTTCCTGCCAAAAAACGTTGATTACAGTCTATGTGTGCATAGAGTCATAGGATAACATGCTGAGGAGTTTGCTGGCTGTAGAAAAAAACGCCAAAAGCCAAAAACAGCCGCTGTAAAAATGTTCAGTGTGCCTGAGGACTAAGCAGGGGCGGACTGACAACTCATGGGGCCCCCGGGCAATAGGGGATCATGGGGCCCCTGTGTCCTTGCCCAAACTCAAAAAAGCCTATAATAAAGGTACCAGGGGCATCTCATGGGGCTCCCTACTGACCCCGGGCTCTCGGGCAGTGCCCGAGTTTCCAAATGGTCAGTCCGCCCCTGGGACTAAGAAAGTAGAAATTACATATACATAGATGTAAACACCAATTAGTTCACTTGTGCATATATGACCAGTTGAAGGTGATGAGATTAGCAATGGACATGCCTGGTCTGCAAGTTGATTTGTGGGATAAGAAGGTACATAGGTGGGTTTACAGGAGGTAGGAAACTCAGAAGTGGCTGTCAATGGAGCAGTGATATGCTATGTAAGTGCTTCCTGTGCTAGTGGGTGTGGAGTGGAGGGACTTACGGGAGTGAGAGAGCCCAGGATGAGACCTATGCAATGTTGGCAGCCAATAAAAAGCTATGAGATGCAGGGCTTGAAAAGTGTTGTCACCTTCTTTATGTCATAAGGGTTTATAAATTACTATATACAAATCTTGAGACAGGTTTGGGTTTCAACTGTTTGTATTGCTGGATATGCTCTTAAATATATATGGAAAATAATAAATAAAACCACAAAGGAAAAACACACCTATAAAAAGGAGCACAACAACATTTTATTGGGATACATGTAAAACCATTTAATATCTGTGTGGTCACCCGTAAATTCTTTGTGGTGAGCATTGCAGGCTAATATGGTAGAAGGTGGAAAACGCAATATGTTAGGTCATTGATGATAATATATATATTCGGCAGGCCGGAGAAGGGGGATCTTTGGAGGATTGTAGGAGTCAACTTCCAAGTCTGCAGAATTGTGTTTCATACACTGTGCCTACAGTATTTTGGATGTCTCTTCCCCAAAGTGGCTGATGTTTGTGTTGAACAAACTATACAAGAGAACCTCTTCACATCTCTGCTGAAAAATAAGGCTTGCCAAGGCTCAGGTCACATGACCCAACAGCACCTTTGGGGCAAGGCCAAGGAGCTTAGGAGCTAAAAAAATGACAAGGAGTAGTAAGGTGATCAACTTCTATGATTCCAGTATGAATGGTGATGCTACCCAAGAATGGCAGGCAGGGGATAATGTGAACATATGCCCTGTCCAAGGAGGGCAAGGGAACAGGCTTACTTTAACAGTGGTTCCACCAACGGCACATACTTTATATACTGTCTCTTTGTTTCCCTGTTGCTCCGTCAGAAATTAAGTAGCAATCTATCGCCTATGAGTTTGGATGACCAAATTTGGTCATTGTAAACTGGACAATAAAATGGCAGCTTCTTCCAGGTCTTTCTCCAGAAAGGATTGGAGCAATTCTGATTGGTCATGTGCTGGCATGTGACTGCTTTGACCAATCAGAATCACTGTGATCCATCCCAGAAGCCCTAAGGAAACAAGAGGCAGAGGACTATGACTGCCAAATCCCCAGAACCCTGCACTGGCTGTGCAGGCAGTGGAAGCTAACCAGTGCAGCGAGGTCTTTGGGGGTGGGAAGGCTTTACGGTGCTAATTAGCCTTTTCATTTACGTTAGCCAATAAAAAGTGTAATTTAAAGTGGTTCTAAAGGGGCAACTTTTTTTTACTTTAATGCATTCTATGCATTAAGGTAAAAACTCTGGTGGGTGCAGCTCTTCCACACTGTATGCTTACCTGAGCTCCATCTCAATCCAGTCGATGTGCTTGAGAGCAGTGGCTCTCCAGAGTTTCTCTCTCCTCAATGGCTCACACAGCAGCGGGAGCCTTTGGCTTCTGCTACTGCCAATCACAGTCAGTGAGCCAATGAGGAGAGAGCAGAGGGCAAGGCCGAGCCGTGTTCAGAGTGAATGAATGCACAGAGCATGGCTTGGGAGCGAGCCTGTTCGAGTGCCCCATAGCCCCCAGGTGACCTTAGTGACCTAATAAGGTAGTAGTGTAATTCCTTAACAGATAACTGTATTTTCAGTGTATTTATCTAGTGAAGCACAAAATGGGCATCCATTCTATCAAATCACAAGCAGTATGGATGTGCCATTATATGTTCATCTCTGGTTGGTAAAGATTCAGCCAGGACTGACTTGGTGAAAATAGTGCAATCTCTATGTCATTCATTTCGCTCAACATCTGCTTATCAAGGACCATAAGGGAAACTCAGACAGTCCCTGGATAGAGAGTGTGCTCATCTGAATGTGTATGACAGTAATAAAAAAAAACTAAAAAAATCATGTATTAATAAAACTCACTGAAAATGCACTATAGATTGTATTCAACATGACAATGCTCCAGCTCCACAAACGACCATGGAGTGGCTGCCCAAATTCTGAAGGCTGGTTAGAAGAGGAATGCAGAAGTCTTACTGGGAGGCTATTGCTGTCTGTTCCATGGAGGACACAATTATTCAGCACTGTGAACAAGATGTGACCTCTGGGTTCCTGGCAGCATGTCCAGAGTGTCTGCAGACCATGACCTTTACACAGCCGCTCATAGAGATCCATTGTATAGTGGCTTTAACCTGCAGTGCGCTGTTAGCTGATCCTTGTAATGCTTCACTGAGCAGTGATTAAACCAGTGTCAGCCTCTGAACTATATCGCACTTCATGCAGAGAACAGCAAGGTGCTTCCTGCAATGGTCCAAAGCAAACACCTCAATCTGCATTTTTTAAACCAGTTAGGTTAGACTTTAGAACAGTGGTTTCCAAACTGCAGCCTGGAAGCCTGATGTGGTCCTTTTTTTGCTTTTATCTGGTTCTTGGGGCACTATTCCTCCCACTGACACCAATATTGAGGCACCCTTCCTTTCACTGACACCAATGAAGGGGCATTATTCCTTCTATTGATACCTAACATGGGGCACTATTTTTCCTACATACTCTAATGATAAAACACCATTCATTTACTTACACCAAGGATGGGGCACTATTTTCCCTACTCACATCAACAATGGGGCACACTATTACGCCCACTGATTTTAACAATGAGGTAGCATTCCTCTCACTGATGCCAGCAATAGGTCACCATAGATTCCACTAATACCGTCAATGGGACACTATTTCTTGTAGTGATACCAACAAAAGGGCACTAGTTCTCCCACTGATACAAAGGGGCACTATTCCTACAAGGGGCGGACTGACAACTCATGGGGCCCCCGAGCAGTAGGGGATCATGGGGCCCCTGTGTCCTTGCCCAAACTCAAAAAAGCCTATGAAAAAAGTACCAGGGCATCTCATGGGGCCCCCTACTGACCCCGGCCCTCGGGCAGTGCCCGAGTTTCCAAATGGTCAGTCTGCCCCTGATTCCTACCACTAATACCAAAGATGGGGAACTATGTCCTCCTACTGACCACAGGCATTAGGTAATTATTTACTCCCACTGAACACCAAGCCTAAGACATTGTTTTATCCCATTGATGCTGGGCCATATTATACTCCCACTGACCACAGTCCAACCCCCCAAAGTCTGAAGGACAGCAATTCGGCCCTTTGTTTAGAAAGTCTGGAGACCCATGTTCTAGAATAGGGGTCTCCCAACTTTCTAAACAAATGGCTAGTTTATTGTCCTTCGAAGTTTGAAGGGCCAGACTTTGGCTATTTTGAGTAGAAAAGATCCGGATGTTAGTGGAAATAGACAATACCCCATCTTTGGTGTCAGTGGGAGAAATAGCACCCCATCATTGGTATCAGAGGAAGAAATAGTGCCCCATCATTAGTGTCATTGGGAGGAATTGCGACTCATTCTTGGTGTCATTGGGCCCCATTGTTGGTATCATTGAGAGGAATGTGCACCGTCGTTGGTGTCATTGGGAGGAATTGTGTCCCTTTATTGGTGTCAGTGCGGGAATTATGTCCCACTCTTGGTAGTTAGTGGATGAAATGGTGCCCCAAGGGCCAGATAAAAGCAAGCAAGGGTCCGCATCTAGCCCCCAGGCCACAGTTTGGAGACCACATTACTCTAGAAGAAGAAAATCATCCAGTGATTCTATTTTAGTAGTAGTGCTCTACCTGAGGTCTAGCCATTTTTGCATCAAAAGGGATATCTACTGAGGGAACAATGCAATAAATAGGCCTGCTTGGCTCATATGATGGCACATATGATGGCTAATTACTTACAGACTTGTATATTAAGAGGTGTTATTCAAAGGTCAGAATCCCCGGACAAAAAGCTTTGTTAGCGTCCAAGAAGAGCAGCTGAATGCTGACTCTTCTTATTTCCATGTATTAATTTCTATAGGAATTTTGTAAGAACATGCATGCCATCTAGGTACCAGGTCTGTTATATCACTCATCAAAAGGTGACCTACAGTATAGGCAAGTATAAAAAAAAATTAAGCCATTGTATTTTTACATTAAAATGACTGTTCATCTTCATAGGCCTTATGAAATCTATTCAGGAGGCCATCCTCATTAAGGGATGAGTGAATCAAGCAAAGCTCAATTCTCCTGAGGTTCAGCAAACCAAATGTTATGTCTAGAGATGAGCGAATCGAAGTAGCCGAAGTGGAATTCGAGTCGAATATCGGAAAAATTTCGCGAATCGAAAAATAGCCTTTCGGACGCCGAATCGAAAAAAATGGCGGCTGACATGTGCGGCGACGGAGCGGGGATGTCTGGGAAGGCGCGCAGACAAGGCGCGCTGACCCATAATGCATTCCTCAACGACATGTGATCGCATCAGCCAATCAGCAGCCAGCCAGCTAGCACTGTGTAATGGTCGAGCTATAAATAGCGGCCATTTTGGAATTCTTCATTTGCCTGCAGTCATTGAACAGAGGCAGACCGCTCTGTATTAGGGACAGGGACAGAGTTAGGGCCACAGAAACGATACTTGGGGACAGAGAAACGATACTTAGGGACAGAGAACTATTACTCAGGGACACAGAATTGTTAATTAGGGCCACAGAATCGTTACTTAGGGACAAAGAAACGCTAGTTAGGGCCACAGAATTCATACTCAGGGACAGACAGAATTGTTACTGAGTGCCAGAGAATTGTTACTTAGGGCCACAGAAACGTTATTAGGGCCACAGAATTGTTACTCAGGGACAGACAGAATTGTTACTGAGTGCCAGAGAATTGTTACTTAGGGCCACAGAAACGTTATTAGGGCCACAGAATTGTTACTCAGGGACAGACAGAATTGTTACTGAGTGCCAGAGAATTGTTACTTAGGGCCACAGAAACGTTATTAGGGCCACAGAATTGTTACTCAGGGACAGACAGAATTGTTACTGAGTGCCAGAGAATTGTTACT